TCTAATGGGTGCAATGTATCAAGCATTTGAAAAAGATGAGGGAAACAATAATATTAAGGACAATGGCAGTGCTGGTTGCTAAGTAAAACTTATTTCAAAAGAGCAAAAACCAGCCAACAGTGCTTAATTGGATTTTAAAATCTAACAGTAAAATGGAGAGCTTCTCTGCTAGGAAAGAAAGAGGCTTTTATGCTGCAGTAGATGGCAGAAGAACTGAGGAACTGGCCCAACTCTTAATCCTAAGCGTGACTGACCTCCAAAGATTAACCCCAAAGCAGGGAGCATGGCGTTGCTTAGAGACTCTGATGCAATGGACTGGGTTGCGACCCCTAAAATTCTCCCATTTCCAGTCCTCCTGAATCCTCTGAGCCTTACTGTGGACCACTTCATGGGGTCTCTGTTACCTTCATGGCCAGAAGAGAGACGGCACAGGAGGCAAGAAGGCAGTGTGTTGTAACATGACTTAGCAGCTAGTGTTGGTTCAAACTTCAGGAGTCTGACCCCCAGTTGTTTAAGCATATTTAAGCACAGCACAATTCATTGAAAACTATTCTGATGATAATTAAATCACTCCTGCATTCACAACTAAGTATCCATTTCTTAAGGAACAAAGTAAGCTAAATACAGATCAGTCCTGACAACATTAAAACTCTTTGTAAAGTCTATAAAGATGGGTTCTGTAGACTGACTGAGAAAAACAGGTATATGACTGACTAAGAAAAACATATTAATGATAAGGGTCTGGGGAAGACCAAGTGCTAGAAAAGTCACTGGCCACACAGTGCAGTCTACTACAGCCTTCTAGGTGGATAACAGGTTTGGATTCCTTCCCTTGAAGGAACAACTCTGTGAGCTTAACATTGTATGTTCCCCTAGTGCTTATCTGTGAGCACAAAGACCTCCATGCCTCCTACAGTTTTTGGCTAATCTCTGTTATTTGGAACCCACACAGACCTCCTTAGGGTCTGCCCCCAGCTCCATCTCAACACTAGGCACATGGCCAAGGTTAAGTTCCAACAAGTTGGCACAAATATTGTAATGAATGGGAAGGACTGTGTGGCAGTAGGGAGACTGACATGACCTGCAGAAGGCTAGGGAGGTGGCTGCTAGAGTATGGTGTTCTGAAGCCTGATTCTAATTGGTCTCATCAATAAAAACCCAGAGGCAGATATCAAGGTAAAAGCCGAAAGATCAGAGAAGCAAAGGAGCAGCCACAGTCACTTCTTAATGCTTCTAATCCTCAGACTGAAAAGGCCAAGATCCTATTTATAACCCTTGTTGTTGCTTCCCTGTCTCTTCTCTATACAGGCCTCTAGACCTCTATGGTTAACTAGTGGCTTGCTTAGCCCTCTGATCTCCAGGTAAGCTTTATTTGTCAGAACACAAACAAAATACCACAAGTGTTTCTAGAAACAAAGGGGACGGACAATAAATAAGGAAACCGGTCAGTTTGTACAATTATAAGAAACCAAGCAGTCAGATATGGTGGTCAACATCTATAATTCCAGCACTTGGGAAGCTGAGGTAGGACTGTGGGATCAAGTTGCAGTACACATAATAAGACTAGAACGAAAGAGGAGAGGAGACCTCATCATCATGGAACTTGAAAGTGTATGATCACGGGGATGTTATTAATACTCCAATTGTGAGCCAGGGTTCCTTCACTTATCTATGTATTTTGTATAGGAATGTAAAGTCATTCCATTTAAGTTAATACTGAGTAGATTTACTGGTATTATTTTTTAATGAAACATTTAAAAATTTCATATTTTTAGCTTACATGGTTTTGGTAGTCCTTCTGCATGCTAGGCAATCATTCAATCACTGAACTTTGTTCTAAGCCCCAAATCATTCAAGGTTTACTGGTACAATGGATGACTTCTCAAGCCAAAATAACTATATAATTTTGGGGCAAGTTGCATATTACCCACATCCCCATGAGTTTCCTCATGTGTTAAATTGTTAAGGACACACAAAGTACCTAGAATGTAAGGAGAAACAAAGAAAACATGACTCATAGTAGTAGTTGTTGACATTTTCTGTTTGTGAAGGAGTTATTAGGTTCCAAAGAAACCCAAGACAAACGACTAGCTGTGGTACCTGTTAGCACACAAAACCATATGCTGGCCAACTCACTCAGTACCTATGGCTCCACTCAGCTCTTTGCACCTCAACCCCACCTTAAACTTCTCCAGCTCACGAACTTCCCTTTCCCTGGCTTCTCATTCCTATATAACCCTGCTGTTTCAATCAGCTCTCCCTAGGCTAAGTTCTCCTTGCTCCCTTGGTCACCTCTCCTCTTTGCACTCTCTCTCTTTGTGTCTCTGTGTCTGTCTGTCTGATTGTCTGTCTCTGTCTGTCTGTCTGTCTGTCTGTCTGTCTGTCTGTGTCTGTCTCTCCCCTGCCATTCTCCCTTCTCTATGTGTCTCTTTCTTCTCATGGCCTGGGCTAGTCTACTGACCATGTTGAGTTTATTACTACTTTCTCTACCTGCTCTGGACTCTTCTAGATTCCTCTGGCTGTACTCTCCCTCATATGGACAATAAAAACCTTTTCCTACTTTGGAGCAGTCATGTCCTCATTTTATACAAAGAGGAGGTAGTGGTCTGCTGAAACTGATAAAAGTGGTAGAAGGTTGAGAAAAGGGAAACTGCTTTGATACAGATATTGTAGCCAATGGGAATAACAGTTAATTAGAAAAATACAGAAGGACAGAAGGCAACCCTGAAAGGCTTGAGTTTAGTGACATAGACCCCTGTTCAGAGCCCTCCCTAAAGCCTCAGAACACCAATGTAGGAAGAAAAAGGTATATTCATTACTGAGAGTAGGAAAAAATGATAAATTATTAATGAAACGATGGGAATGTGTTTTATTAAATGAGACTTGAAAGAAAAAAAACTAGAGAAAAATAGGATGAATAACCGAGAGAATACAGAACAGAGATTTTCAGTAGCAAGGAAAACTGAGGGAGGAAAATTGAAAATTGAAGCCATATTAGGAGGCTAGTAAGCTAAGGCATTGGGATTTGGATTTCACTGATGGAGCAGCTCTCTTTGGGGATAAGGCTTAACGTGTGGTCATCAAAGTGAGCTCCTGGAGTGTAGCAAAGGTGACAGCAGATGGGGATGAAGAAATAAAGAGACCAAAATGACAAGTCCTCCACCGGGATGTGAATGTGGATAGCAGCAGAAATATGGGTGCGTATAAGAGAGCTACATTAAATACAGACGGTGACAGGCAGTAAGTAATAGTCACATGTGGTACTGGGAGACAGGCCAAGGACCTCCTCCCCAGAGGTAAGGGGAGAAGGCAGCATGTTCCCTTCTCGGCGCTATTTAAAGCAGGCAGTCTCGTGGATAAGTGCATTCAGAGCTCAGCCACAGAGAACGTGGTAGGATTTGCTCACAAAGGAACAGAATCCACACAGCAGAGGGCAAACAAGAGAGAGACAACTCAGATCCCAGAACGTGGGGGTTGTGAGACAACCAAGAAAACTCGGCCTCTGGTGTGCATGCCCATAATCCCAGAGCCAAGAGGCAGAGGCAGGGCCTTGGGTTCAAGGCCAGGCTCCTATTCATTATAACACTCAGAAAACAATAAAGAAAAAGAAAAATGTGAGATGGGAGCCTTGTCAGGGTCTCAGAGTGGAAAGGATCTCAAAAGAATCACGGAAAAATTGCTAGCAAATTCATTTTTCTCTTTCTTTTGAATTTTTTGTGAGTTCATCTTTCTCTTCCTTTTGGAGTTTTCAATTCCTCTGAGTAAAATAATAAAACCGGAATAAGACACCAAGGGCCTTGAGGTCCTGAACTCTCTGAGCCCTACAACTTTCCTTCTCAACCCTGAGACTGTTACTTCCCTCGCAAGCTCACTTCCGGGAAGGCGAGCTCCGCCCCCACCGACGGCGGGCGGGGTCAGGGCGGAGCAAACAGAAGTGGGTGGGGCAGACCTCCTCTTCCGGTGACGCGTACAGTCTGGGCGCTCTGACGTGAGAGGACATCCGGTCTCGCTTCCACTGTCCGCGGCTGCCGGGAGGGGGGTGGGTCTCCCCGCCTCCAGGCCTCCCAGAACCCTGCGACCCGGTGCGGCTCTGCTGTCACTGGAGTTCAAGCTTGAGCTGAAAGAACTTCCAAGTCACTGGCAGAAACACGTCCTCGATTAAAAATAAAAAAAAAAATAGGTCTGGGATGGCTCAGTGGGTAGAGGACGGGTCACCGGTTGTCACTCATCTCGTCAGCCCCACGCTCCAGACTTCAAATACCGGCAGAAAGAAAGCCCGTGGTGTGGCCACGATTAGCTCTTAGGACTGCCGTGTCCGAGAGGTCGGGCAAAGGAATAAGGAAACAGAAGCCTGGTTTTCTGTACTGTAGTTTTTCTGAGTGCTGAAAACCACTTTTGTAAGGTTTGATGTGTGTATGAGAACAAACTCCGAAGCGTCTAGGAAGGAGCGAGGGGCAGTGAAAGCTACTGTGGTTCTTAATCTAGTCAAAGAAAGTGGGTTGGCTTTGCAGTCAGCTCTTGGCTTGTTGGATTTTTATTTAGATACTATCTAGTCGAAAGTGTACTGTCCAATATCGCGTGGTTGGCAGCACAGGGCTGTGGTGGTTATATTTCTGAAAATGGCCATTTCAACTTGGCACAAAGTGTTTTAGTCGTTTCTTATTAATGCTGTATAGACAGATTTTTTTTTTTTGAATGAAGAGCAGAATAGTTAACGTTAAGGGAAAAAACAAGTACTCTGGCTTTTAGGGTAAGGTGGGTTTTTTTTGTCGTTGTTTTGTTTTGTTGACTGTGCTGTTTTAGAGTTGTTTGGTAGTGCAAAATCTTAGTTTAGAAGTCTTTGGCTGCAATAGTGTGTGTGCACTGTTGTCTAAAGCTTTGGGCATGTTTAAGTGATAGATGTGAGTTTAAAATTGAAGGGTTGAGTTTACTACTTAAGGAGAGTGTAAGCACTTTTTAAGTGAGTCTGGCAATTACAGCTTTTCTGTTTTCTTATTTAGAAAGAGGGGGAAATGCCGAAGAAGAAGACAGGCGCGAGGAAGAAGGCAGAGAACCGCCGAGAGCGGGAGAAACAGCTCAGAGCATCGAGAAGCACTGTAGACTTAGCCAAGCACCCGTGCAATGCTTCAATGGTAAGAGTGTTTAACAACAGCTGGTGGTGGAAAAGAAAACCTATAAAGTACCATATGTAAAATCTGAGAAAATTATCAACTCCAGTGTGCCCATGTGTTTACTGTTACATGTGAAACCTGTTAGAGGCATGTTCACTATTTTTACTGAGTAACAATGATTTTTTTTTGTTAGATTGCATATTATTTATAAAACCTGGTCTATTACTTCATATACTGTTGATGATAATAGATACTGAAGGAGATGGAGACCAGGAAGTGAGTAGGAGGCTCCAGCTTTTCTGTATTCTTTAATCACATTCTCTCAGCACCCTTCACTCATTGCTTTCTCTTGCTTGAGCGCCCTGACTTCTAGATATATTCTCTTTTCTTAACTAATCTTGCCTATGCTAAGCAGGTTGGTCTTGGGAATGTGTGGCTGTTTGAAATGCTTTATTTTCAAGGCTTAATTTAGCAGATGTTTATTATTCCTGGGAACACATACTGTGCATGGACTCTGTGTACAACATTGATGGCTCATAGAGTGCCTCTTTTATAAGTTTGTAGAATTCCCTGGTGTCTGTAGGACTTGTTTGTTTATAAATGACAGAAACAAAATTTCACCTTAGGGAAAAGTAGTTCACTAGCGTAATAATTCCAAGTAGCAGGAAAAAGAAAGGGTGTGAAAGACTGAGGACAAATGGGGGAGGGGGACAGAAAGAAATGGTGTGAAAGACAGGGGTAACTGGATCCCAGATTCTATAGCTTTTTTGCTCCCATTGCTCTGAGGATTATCATGCTTTATTTGTTTAGCTTCTTGGTTTCTGGTAGCGTGCATATATGACATTGTGGAGGTCCCAGAAAGATTCTCACAGGTTGGGTTTGAGCCCTTTTGTCCCAGGACTGATGTTTATGGTGTACAGGGTCAGGTTACATGGTACAGAATTGACAGTGGGAACTGTATGGTGAATATCAGGGATGCTATACAGACATAACCAAGTGACTAGCATACGTAAGAATGTGCAAGGAGAATAGATCCTGATATTTCAATAAAGGTGCAGTCCTGTACTGTTCCTTTGTTTACTACTTTGGAAGAATAAGTAGTAGTAAAACTGGGTGTGTGGAAGGCAGTACCACTTACAGAGAATGTTCAACATGAAGAGATAAAAGAGAAAGGTATTATCGTAAATGAAGGAATGGAGAAAAGAATGTAGAACATATTCGGGGAAAGACTGGCTGATAGTGACTTGACTCTATAGACCAGGCTAGAGAGTTGGTCATTTATTTATTTATTTATACAGTGTTCTGCCTTCATGTATACCTGAATGCCAGAAGAGGGCTCCAGGTCTCATTGTAGATGGTTGCCAGTGTGTCTGACTTCTTTTGTAATATGGGTTCTTCCATTGTGGATCACAGCATAACTTTTTTGTTTTCCTTTGCTAGCGGTGAGTACAAGAGCTCCCACACATGGCTGGAGCTGGAATTGGGGTATAGAGCCAGTTACATTTTAATATGGGAAAGAAAATAGTCTTTATAATGTAAGCAAACTTTCCATTTTCAGTCATCAGAAAATTAATGTTGTGTTTTAAATTTTACAGGAATGTGACAAGTGCCAGAGGTAAATTTTCTTTGTTTCTCTTTCTTTCTGTATGAAACTGTCCTTATGTGCTTTATGTTGTTGTGATAGGACACTTGGGGAGGAAAAGGCTTATTTTGTCTTACGTCACTGAGGGAAGCCAGGGCAAGAGCCTTGGGGCTGGAACTATTGCAGAGACCATGGAGGGATGCTGCTGTCTGGCTTGCCTCCAGCCTCAGATTCAGCCTCCTCTCTTAGACAAGGCAGGACTGAGTGCCAGGAATGGCACTGCCTGCGGTAGGTCCTTCTCCATCAGTTAGCAGTTGAGAAAATGCTCCGCAGACATTGCCCACAGGCCTGTCTGATGGAGGCAGTTCCTCACTCAGCCAGTGCTCCCTCCTTTCAGATAACTCTAGTTTGTGTGGAGTTGACAGAAACTAACCAGCACAGCAATAAAGTGGTCTCTTCTTTATCTGAAATTGACCCTATTTAAAATTTTTGTTTTACATGACAAGGCGGCAGAAGAATAGAGCATTTTGCTATTTTTGTAATTCTGTTCAGAAGTTACCAATTTGTGCCCAGTGTGGTAAGTATACAACTATGAAGGCATGTCTTTATCGAATGTTTGTCTGGCAGTTGTCAAGTGTAGGTGGAGCTGTGTCCCTAAAATAATTCAAAATAAAACTAAATGGTATTTCCCAGAGCAGACAGATTAGTGTTTCCTCAGTGGTCTTCACAGGCCCTCACCATGCTAACACGTCTGACTGGAAAACACTTACTCTGAGTGTTGCAGTCTTGCCATGTTACTCTCATCTTGGGGACATCTATGTTTTCATAAAGACTTGCTTAGGGAGCCTAGTCACCTTTACTCAGATTTACCTCAGTGTTCATTTTGAACTAATACCCTCTTTACATAGGAGACGATGGTTTAAGTAGAACAGTTTGGGGGTGCCCATTGATACAAGCTTGTGCAGAGTGGCAGGTTTAGTTTAGTGATCAGGGCTATATATGGACTATTTCTAGTACAGTTCTAGTTTTCCAAAAGGTCATTGGTTCAGTTCTGCAGTTAGTGAAAAAGAGAAAGCTGTAGTTAAAACGCTCACCTGCCTTTGTTGTACTCAATGCAAATGAATGCAGGGTGAGAAAAGGAGTTGTTTGTGCAAGTGTGAAGTCTAGCCCTGCGTTGTCAGTGTCTCCAGGCTTGGACTTTATAGAACTGTGTGCTGATGCGTTTTCTATTGCAGACTCTCATACTTGAATTAGTCTCGGAACAGTTGGTAGCTGCTGCCCTGTATCCAGTGTTTCTTTCTCCCCAGTGCCTGTTATCTTCCTTTGCTTCTCAGGAAACAACATACCTGCAAACCGAGCATCTTCTGTCTGTCTTGCGTGTTCCATTATTCTGTAGTCTGATGGGCAGTTAATGTGTTGTCACTAATCTTGACATAATGTCTGATGAACAGATTTCTTGGCAGGGTGGGGGTTGGTAATTTGTAGATGAGCATCTCTCAGGCTTTTGCGATTTTTATATTTGGATAAACTTAAGTGCAGCAATTAGGGTCTTTAATCATTAGGTGTGTCTTTGGATAGTATGTGACAAGAAATAACTGGTAAGTCCAAGGCAGGCTGTTTTTATTGTGATTTATGAATATAAAAGTCATTTTAAAGCATCCTTTTTACAATGTTTTGGTTCACTTGAAGTTCATAAGATTTGAAACTGTCAGAGTGATCATACATTACAATGCATAACCTGGAACTTTGATTTCATTATAAACATGAGTTAGCATATTGCATATAAATTATTATATAACAGTTTTTATGGATTAATAAATTTCTAATCCCAGAAGATCTGACTCAGGTATGGGAAAATACACTAGTTTCATTTTTTTAATTTTTTAAAATATTATTTCCAGAGGCACTTGGGATAGATCAAAGAGGAATTAATGAACACTTTCTTGTATGTATTAGTTTGTAGGGCTAATAGTGCATATATATTTATTTCTTTTCAACCAGGAAAAACAAAGTGCATGATGAAGTCTTCAGACTGTGTCATCAAGCATGCTGGTGTATACAGTACTGGCCTTGCTATGGTGGTAAGCTGCTTGTCATGTCTTAGTGTAGGTTTCCAAGATAAAGCCATTTTAACCAGAATTTTAATGCATTTTAAAAAATAATTTTTATTTATTCCTTGAATTTCATATATTTCTATCCTATTGGCCTCCACCTCATCCCATATCTGTCTCCATCTCTCTATCCATCCAATTTTGTGTTTTTTATTTTAACCCACTGAGTCCACTTTATGTTGCCCAAATACTTTTCCCCCCAGGTGTAAGACCTGCCCTGGAGATGTGCAGAACCTATCAAATACCAATAGCTTCTCAGCGAGGAGTGGGACTTTGTGCTCACCCTCACATCTGTGCAGGGTCTTGCTGGCTTTGAGCTTTATGCACAGGGTTTGTGCCTGCTGTAAGAAGTTGGAGTGATTTTCTGTGTGCGAATGCCCTGTTGTGACTGGGTACACTTTTTTTATTTCATTATAGTCTTCTATCACCTCTGGCTCTTAAACCCTCTCTTTGTTACAGATCCCTGAGCCTTGGAGGTTGGCTTATGTCATAGATATCTTTGTACACTCCAGTCTCCTACCTCTGCATGTTGACCAGTCTTTGGTCTTTGTGTTAATTTCTATGTATTGCAAGAAAAGAAGCTTCTCTGATGAGGTTTGAGAGACACACTGATCTATGTATATAGCAGTAAGTCATTAGTAGTCATTTTAATTCTGTGACCATTTAGCAGAATAATAGCAGTGTGACCTATGATCTATGTAGCCACAGGTCACTTTTGGTCCTGATAATAGTGCCAGGTACTAGGCACTGGAATAGGTCTTAAATTCAAGTAAGAATAGTTGGTTATTCACTTAGGCCATTACTGCACCAGTGAACATATCTTACCAAGACAGTCATTGTTACAGGTATAAGTTCTGCATCTGGGTAAGATTGATTTCCTCCTTCTTGCTCTGTGAAAGCTAGCTAGTAGGGTTGGAGCTCGTCTTTTTCCTCCACTAAATGATAGTGCCTTCTTTGTAATTTTAATTGATTATCCAAAGGTACCATTGTACTTTTTTAAGTGTTAAACAGGCTTCCCAAAATAAATTCCCTGAGTTGTAAGACGTTTACCAACATTTAAGCCTTTGGTTAAATAAGTTTTAGAATAACTTAAGTTTAATTTTTTTTTTAACGTTAAATTTGAGAAAAGGTACCTGTTAGTTATACATTATTTTTACTAGTTGGGATTTTAGAAGGAATTTTAGTGCCATATGTTGTTGTTTTTTACCTTTAATTCTTTTTGGCTCTTTGAGGTGCCCACCACCCAGCTCCCAATTAAATCACACACTGAGTCTTATTACTAGTTATGAATGCCCAGCCTTAGCTTGGCTTGTTGCTTGCCAGCTTTTAACTTAAATTATCCCATCCTCTTGTCACTGGGCTTTTCCTGTTCTCTTATTTCTGCAAATCTTACTCTTATGCCATAGATTGCTGTGTAGCTGGATGGCTGGCCCCTGATGTCCTCCTCATTTTGTTCTCTCGTTCCTCCTCCCTGGTTTCTCCTTCTGTTTATTCTCTCCACCTTCTAGCCTGCCTCTCCTTGCTCCTGCCTTGCTATTGGCTGTCCAGCTCTTTATTAGACCATCAGGTGTTTTAGACAGGCAAAGTAACACAGCTTTACAGAGTTAGACAAATGCAGCATAAAAGTCACACACCTTAAAATAATATTCTACCACAGACATAAATAAAAATTGGTAGTTTATTTGTTATATTTTCTTCTTTTTCACTAAAATATTTTCAATATGAGCTACGAGTTTTGTTATATGCTGCTGTGTGATTTATGCTTCATGAAACAATTACTTTCTGTGAGGAAAGTAATACTGGTTTTATGTATATTGTTTATGGTAACCTCCCTAATCTGGGTTTTTTGTTTTTTGTTTTCTGTGGGACAGCTTTCTTCTCTCAAGTGTAAGTCTTTTTCCTGTTCTTTCTTTCTTTGCTGATAATCACTTGTCCCTCAGGTATGTGTGGGGACAAGTTCTCTGCTGTAAAGTCTTCTGGATTACATAGTTAAAAGTTCCTTCTTTCTTGCTAGACTACTGTCTGATCAAGGAGAAATACAAGCTTCTACACCTGGTTTTCACAGTCAGAATTGTTCTCCCATTTGCTGCCTTTTGTTCCTTTGCTTGCTTTGTAGCAGCCTTAGTGTGGTAGCTGATCTAGAGCTCTTGTTTCTTTGTTGCAGGGTGCAATATGTGACTTCTGTGAAGCTTGGGTTTGCCATGGGAGGAAGTGTCTTAGTACCCATGCCTGTGCCTGCCCACTCACTGATGCAGAGTGTGTGGAATGTGAGCGAGGGGTTTGGGACCATGGTGAGTGATTAGGTTCAAACATTAAACCTAGTTACAAGTAAATGCTAGCTTGCCTGTGATCTTTCTCCATGTAGATTCTTTCAACTCTAACCACTGGTATAATTTCAGTAATTTAGTTGGAAAGAGATTGAACCATCAGTATTAGTAAGTGCTAGTACTGTTCACCCAAGCAGGTAGCGAAAGGGGTTTGGGGGAGGGCAGGCAGGCTCTCTTGAGCCTGTGACTGTTGTGTAAGTGGGCAGGAGATAGATAGTAGAGGCCCACAGTTTAATGGTTCAATTTGAAGTATGTCACCAGTTTTATTTTATATTTATTTCATAGCTGTTGCCATGAAATTTTGATACACTTCTTGAAATTAGTTGCTATCTTTTATAGGTTATTTGGGTAAGAATTTTTAAAGTTATTAAGTTTGCTATATTACGTTCATGAATTTTATTTTAATCTCACAGGGGGCAGAATATTCAGCTGTTCATTTTGCCATAATTTTCTTTGTGAAGATGATCAGTTTGAGCATCAAGCCAGCTGCCAAGTTTTAGAAGCAGAAACATTTAAATGTAAGTTGTTTTGTTAGCTGTTCTGGACCTAGGATTCTGAATAGTGTAAATGTGAGACTTAATTAAAAAGAAATAAGTTCTTTTATGCTGCTGCTTAGTGTGTGTATGGTTTTTTTTTGTTTGTTTGTTTTTTGTTTTTTGAGACAGGGTTTCTCTGTGTAGCTTTGGAGCCTATCCTGGCACTAGCTCTGGAGACCAGGCTGGCCTCGAACTCACAGAGATCCACCTGCCTCTGCCTCCTGAGTGCTGGCATTAAAGGTGTGCGCCATCAACGACCGGCGTGTGTATGTATTTTTGTTTATAGAAAAAAACCCCAAACATTCGCTCTGAAATTTTCTATGGGGATAATAGTGGTATGTTGGCTGAGCAGTTTATTTTGTGGCCTTGATCAGACGTTGGTATTCAGCATTCCTGGTCCTGTGTATCTGCTAGCATTTTCACTTTTAGGTTCCTATACTGTCTTAGTTACGATTTCTCTTGCTGTGAAGAGACACCATGACCATGGCAGCTCTTATAAAGGAAAACATTTAATTGAGTGGGTTACAGTTCAGATGGTCAGTCCATTATCTCCATGGTGGGATGTGGCAGAATGTAGGTGCTGGAGATATAGCTGAGAATTCTACATCTTTATAGGCAACAGGAAGTGGTGTATCTCACTGGGTTTGGCTTGAGCATGTATAAAACCTCAAAGCCCACCTCCACAGTGACATACTTCCTCTAACAAGACAACTGACATACTCTAACAAGCCCACACCTCTTAATAGTGCCATTCCCTTTGCGGGCCATTTTCTTTCACCACATATCCCAAGCAAGCCCAGCCCTCTCCTTTCCTTTCTCAACACCTCAGTAAGTGCCCCTTCCTTGCGCATTGCTGACAGTGCAGGGACTCAGGCTTCCTCCCAGGAGAGTTTACCCTAAATTTGGTTAGGCATCTGAGGTCTGTATTTAATCTGCACCCACAATTCTGCATTTCCCTGTGGAGAACCAATGTGACTGATTGGGGTAATAGTAATAGTAATAGAAATATCTTTATAGATGATTTCAAAAGGCTGATTGAAATGAGAGTACACATAAATTAATTACTCTATGATGTCTGGTATTGACCGTCCTAGGGAAAAGACTGACATCCTCAGTTACTTAATTCCAATGTATGGTTCTTATTTTGGGGGGGATGCTAATTCTATCACTCATCTCCAGATTTTAGTTGCTAAGTTGCTGATCTGAGATATATACTGTACTCTGTATATAAAATTCAGTATTTACATAGAAATTTCCTCAAGAGTGTTTCAAAGTATATTATGGTCCTGCCCCCCAGGCTTTTTTGGAATGTATAGAATAGAAACGAAATTCTTTGTGGAGGAAGCATGGGTGCTTTTTGTGTTCGTAGTACTTGAACCCTTCAGGTCGGCAGTTGACTGATGGGGCTATGAGATGCCATTGAGAGAGCACCCAGTGATTTAGTGAGTAACCGAAGTGATATCCAAGGACTGAATAACTGACTGGATTTTAAGATGACTCTTGTCTCTCACAGGTGTTTCCTGCAACCGCCTTGGCCAGCATTCATGTCTGCGGTGTAAGGTGTGCCTCCTTGTTGTCTCATTTAGACTTTGATTTTAGTCTCTGTACCCTTACCCCAGCCCCAGATGTTTATAGCACTAATATATATGGAACTTAAAACTTGTGTGGCCTTTTATTTTCTTTAATTAATTAATGAACTAGTTAGTTAATTGACAGTAGGCCTTGCTGTATGGTCCAGGCTGGCCGTGAATTCACAATAAGTCTTCTGCTTCTACCTCCCGAGTATTAAGGTTCCTGGCCTATATTGCCATGTCGGGCTAATTTTTTTAGATTTGAGATAGTGGCATCTAAGTCAGTAACTTAAGTGGCTTTCCATTGGTCACCCACTTCTTGTAATAGATGCCTCTACCACATGTCCCCAGGGTCCCGGCCCAGTGGTTTTTTTTTATTGTTTTGTTTTGTGTGTAGCTTTGGAGCCTGTCCTGGCCCTCGCTCTGGAGACCAGGCTGGCCTCGAACTCACAGAGATCCACCTGCCTCTTGCTTCTCGAGTGCTGGGATTAAAGGCGTGTACCACCAATGCCCAGCCCAGCCCAGTTTTTTTTTTTTTTTGGTTTTTGAGACAGGGTTTCTCTGTGGCTTTGGAGGCTGTCCTGGAACTAGCTCTTGTAGAACAGGCTGGGCCCGAACTGAGGAGATCCGCCTGCCTCTGCCTCCCGAGTGCTGGGATTAAAGGCGTGCGCCACCACCGCCTGGCCAGCCCAGTGTTTTGAGCCTTATGTTTGTAGAGAGCATTGTGACTGGAATATTGGGGGGTGTGGATTACATTGTTCCTGTTTAGAGGAATCCAGGTGATGAAGAGTGCTATAATGTCTCTTCAGGCTGCTTCTGGCATTCATATTGGACAAAGATCACCAGATAATTTACTTATTTATCTCAGAGACATTTCTGTTTTTTGCCTTTCTTGTTTGTACCCTGTCTTAACTTCTTTCCCAGTTCTGCTGAGGAATGTGGAATGGTGTTCGTTCGGTCAAGCTTTTAGTCTCTGTCTGTGCTATTTCTGCTGCTTAGAACATGTCTGTTTTTGCTCACTTTACCCCCGTTCACCTACTGATGTCAGCCAAGGTCCCTCCATGTTCAGTGGCCCTCTGCATCTCTTTCAGTAGCTAGGGCCTTAACATTTTCTTTCCACCCCTTACTTGGGTGGTGGTGCATGCTGACGATGAACAGACCACCCACCGTCTGTTATCAAGGACCTCAAATATGACTAAGTCTATAAGCCACTTTCCATGCCATCCTCTGTGTAAGTGTCTGCCTTGTGTCCGTCCTGTTTCAGAAAAGTCCTGGCAAAATCCATTTCCCTTTAAAAACTTGAAGTCAAGAGCATGTGACGAGTCTCAGTCTAATTCTCAACTCTGCCTTAAACAAAGCTGTCCAAATTTTCATGCAGTATTGAATAGTGTCCTTTTATATCTTTTAAATTAGACAGTGGCTTATTTCTGCTTCTCCTGTATAGGCTTGTTTCTGTGATGAACATACAAGGAGCAAGGTGTTTAAACAAGAAAAAGGGAAACAACCTCCTTGCCCAAAATGTGGACATGAAACTCAGGAGACAAAGGATCTCAGCATGTCAAGTAAGGCTTCTCATAGGATGTCAGTAGAGTGGTTGGCTTTCACACTTAGACTAAGTTTATTTTTCGTGTGTGTTTGTGTGTGTGTGTGTGTGTGTGTGTGTGTGTGTGTGTGTGTGTGTGTGTGTGTGTGTAGATCAGAGATGAACTTTAGACTTCATTCCTCAGGAGGCTATTGAGACAGGTTCTCATTTGGACCAGACTTGATGATTAAGCTAGACTGGCTGGCAGTAGTCCTTTGGTGTCTACCCCCACTGCTAGGGTTATAAGCATGTGCTACCACTCCTCACCTTTTATGTTGGTCCTGGTCCTGGGCATTGAAATTGTGTGTCCTCAGGCATATGTGGTGAGCACTTTACTGGTTGTCTGTCTGCCCCCCCCCCCCAATTGTGATAAAATACTGTACTGAAATCTTGTAAGTTCAAGCCTAAACAGTGGTAGTTGGAACAGCTGCTCACATGTCCACAGTCAGAAAAATAGTGAATGCATACTAGTGTTGAGCTTGCATTACCCATTCTAAATAGTCTAGGATCCCTGCCCGGGGAATGGTCCTCCTCACAAGTAAGATGAATTGTTCCACATAATTAACATAATGAAGATTCCCACAGGCATGCTCAGAGGTCTGTCTTTCAGAAGATTCTGAATTCTGTCAAATTGATAGGTAACTGGCAATCACATTGACTGAGCTATCTCCCTGGCTGGGGTGTGTTTTTGTGTGTGTGTGTGTGCGTGTGTAATATATATCTTTTTGTTTGAAAGGGTACATGTACTGTCATAAGCAAGTGGGATTTTATAGCCTTGGAAAATGTGTGGTACAGTTTTCAGTTTGATAGAAGAAACATGCTAATATTCACTGAGGTTTGGTATTTGCCTTAGTTATTTGTAATTGTGTCACATAGACTTCTGTGGAAAGATACTTCCCTTCTCATATAAAAGTAAGCACTAATGTAACAGCATATCCCATGGCAGTGGGAAGTGTGAGCATTGGCAATAATTGATGACATGTATATGACTGTCTCTTGTAGCTCGCTCCTTGAAATTTGGCAGGCAGACTGGAGGTGAAGAGGGAGATGGAGCCTCTGGGTATGATGCTTACTGGAAGAACCTGTCATCTGACAAGTATGCTGATACTGGGTACCATGATGATGAAGAGGAGGATGAAGCAGAGGATGAGGAGGAGGAAGAGGATGGGAAGGATTCAGATGCTGAGTCATCAGATCTGTTCACTAGTTTGAACTTAGGAAGGACCTATGCCAGTGGCTATGCTCACTATGAGGAGCAGGAGAACTAGGAGCAGCTCCCGCTGGCACTTGAAGAAGAGCAGGCTGAATCATGAGGATGCTCAGACGTCCCCTCCCTTGGCCTTGTCCAAAAGGCTAGTCATACTAGGGTACATTCTGGCGGTTTGTAGGAACTGATACTGGACTTCTAGTGTAAGGAAAATGGGTTAAATGTAATGGAGTATCATGAATTGGATTATTACTGATTTCAATCATCTGGTAGGTTTTGTCAGTTAGATACATATAAAATACATGATAAAGGAATAGAAAGGAAATATATTTATTTGAAATTAAATTGCTGTTTTTATTAAAAGCACTGCTTATAACTTCATGTATCTGATTTTACAAAGAGTAACGGGTAAAATTACTGTATTCTTTTATTTCAATCCATACAATGATAGTCATGTTATATTCTGAATTTTCACTGACTATTTATGCTGTCTTAAGTAGTCGTATCTGTGTTAAGTGGTTGACGTGTTCATCTTTTTCTTACAATGTATGTCCTCACCAGTGCTTGTTAATGCCTCACTGACTGACAGAAATCTAGCTGTTTTCATACACATAATGCCAGGACTAGTATTGCTGATGCTTCACCCAGAGAACTTCACTTTTAAAATAAATCTACTATAAACTTGAATACTTTGGATATTGAGTTCTTGGTATGTTTTATCAACTTATTTTGTAAAGCATGTAACTGGTGAAGTTTTGACCTAATATTGGGACAAAAATCTGAGATTAATTACATGACACAACTGATGATAAGTGGGGAACTGATGGTCCCCGGAACAGATACCTGGTTCCTACTTGGCTAACAGTGACCTAGGATATCTTAGCTTCTCTTCTGCCGCCGTGATGAAGTATTCTTACCAAAGCAAATAAAGGGTTTATTTTGGCTATGGTTTCAGAAGTATTCAGTCCCATCATGGTTGGGAAGACAAGATGGCTGGAATATAGATCATTTTGTCATGCTGCTTCTTCAGACAGCAGAGAACAGGAAGTGGGATGGGACTGGAAAAGCAGGTCCACCATGATGTACTGGGGCTCTGCCTCCTAAAGGAGCCATAACCATCCCCTGTATCACCACCAGCTGGGACTAAATTCCCAGGAGTTTAGGGGGCTTTCATGTAGAAACCACAATCATGGTAGAAGGGAGCCCATACTGGACTGCGGAATTATGCATAGTTGGGGGCAATTTGGGTGACAATTACTGTCACTGTTTTTAGAGGAATGTAAGAACTCAGAGGTACAAAAGGGCAATAGGAGCTATGTGTGGAAGCCAGAGTACTTCTGGTTTCATGGAAGAAAAACTTTTCATGTCTTGTCAATCCAAAGGAATGTATTACATGAAGCTTGGAGCACCCTGGGAAAGCTGAGCAATCCAGACAGTGAGACTGAGCTGTGTGGATGCTGTTGAAGACCAGTTCTAACGCAAAGGCTTTCCCAGGCAGCTTGCCCTCTTAGTTTGTAAAGCACCTGAGAGAACACAGGAGCTATAAGAATTAGCCTGCATTGGGAAGAGCCAGAAGAATGAATGTACTAGACATACACTGCTGAAGAGGGGCCCCAGATAAAACTAATGTTTTGGCTTCCCCCTGATATCGGCCTCTTAGATTACACAGCAGAGTTATTTTGCTAGAGGATTTAACACTATGATTAGGATCCTGGGAGATGGTCTGAATTCATCACCAGGATGACTTGTATAAGCAGGGTAAAATCAATAACCTATTTGTGCAGGCTTTTTGAGGTGGGTGGGAAAGGAAATGTTGACAGGGCTGGCACGATGGTTCACTTGCTTGCCACCAAGACTGATGCCCTGAATTCAATCCCTGGGACCCACATGGTGAAAGGAAAGAACTGACTTCTGAAAATTGTCTTCTGACCTCTACATGTGTGACATGTGCTCCTTTCTCCCCGCCCTGCAAACAAAAATGTAATTAAAATATTTAAAAGGTTTAGTGTAGTGTGTATGCTAGAACTGATCAGTTGTTCAGTTGAAATATCCACCAGATAATCATGTTCCATGAGAAGGTTCCTTGGACATCACTCAGCAAAGCCATAGAGACATGCACAAAAGACAAAGTTTAGGAAGCTCTCTGTAGGTCAGTGTGCTGATGGTGTGTTAGACAGAGAATGGTGGTCAAGTGGTGTGCCCAGTTGCTGCAAGTTGGGGTTACAGTGTAATGGCTGTCAAGATGATAAATAACCTTCAGGGTTATGAAGGCTAGCACACAATAGTTGAATGGTCAAATAAATGGGCAAGTCAAGAGGAAGACTGTTAGTTAAATCTTTCTGCCAAAAGCCGCCTGAGCCCCACTGCCATGTGTGAGCTTTATGTCAGCGCCCACCTGAGTTAGGCCCAAATGAATACACAGAAACTTGTATTAGGTTCAAAGCTGCTTGGCCAATGACTAGGATTCCTCATCTGATAGCTCAGTCTTAATTATCATAAATTTATATATTTTATAAGACTTATCAGATGCCTTATTGACGTCCCTCCTTGCCGGTGGATCACATCCTGCCGCTGGAGGAGGAAGGGGAAAAAGGGACCCTTCCTGTTTCTCCTTCGCTTAAATATGAGTCTCCTTGCTATGTCATTTCCTGCCTGGATCACCAAGCCTCCGTGCTATGTCACTTCCTGCCTGGATCAACACTTCTCTACTACATTTCCCAGAATCCTCTTTGACTCCTAGTCTGTCTAACTTCCTGTTTCATTGGCCAAACAGTATTTATTTAACAATCAATAAGATAAACATACACAGTACATTCCCCATCATTTCCTCTTTTCTGTCTAAATAAAAGGATAACTTATGTTTTATAATAACTGAAGAAAACTATAACCATAACTATCTGTCTTTAACTCTATCAAAGACCATAGAAGGATAATATATAAACTCTAGAATTGACAGAGACTTCTTGTTACCTGGACAGTCACCCAAAGTTCTTCTGTAACGTTGGGGCATCCATCTTTAGCCTATAGGCCACAGTGTGTCTAGCATACTTTTCCATTTTAACAGGAACCCTTCAGTACTGTCTTGTAAGTTCAGTAGTCATTTTCTTGTGGGTCTTGCATGTCCAGTTTATACAGCAACAAACAGTCCAGGCAAGAGCAGTTTCTTACCCAAATGGCTAATCTAGCCATGTTGAAAGCAAACTCCATAACGAGTTTCTTCGATGCCCATCCTCCTTTATGATGTAATTGGGGTGCCATGAGCAGTTGTGTCTCACTGCCAAGAAAAACCCTAAACCATTTAAATG